GTTTCTCTCTCGTCTTTCTTTTCGGTATGAAAATTCCCAAAATGAAACGGTCTTGATGGAAGAGGAAGTTACGTTGAAGGAACTGAGAAATAAAAATAAAGGAAGAAGGCGTTACGTTAAAAAACTGAAAATTAGCAGAAAGAAAGGAAGAAGTTGTCCACAGTGAACCAAAGAAACCACCTTAAGTGGGAAAGTTAAGGTAGTTGAGTTCTTTTTCAGTCAATGCCACTGATGGTGCACTGACACACGAGTTCTCCTTTTCTTTTATGGCCAGTGCCTCGTATATTTCCCTTGATCTCTTCTCACGATACCTTCGAAGGATCCTTGTCTCTGTAAGTTTCGGCTTGCAGTGACAGTCTCTTACGTGCACTGCAAGATGCCCCGATGGTGTTGATTTGAGTGACGCAGCGTGTTCACGTAACCTGGTGTTCACACACCGGCCAGATTGACCAACATATACTCTGCCACAGGTGAAAGGGATTTCATATATAACCTGGCTTTGGCAAGGTATATATGTTTGCTTGTGCCTCTGACCGCATTCGTTGCGGCGGTCTAGTGGGGAATTTATCACAGGACAAAGCTTCCTTAGCTTGTCTGGTGCTGAAAAGACGACAGGGATGTCATACCTGGCAGCCACCTTTTTCATGTTGTGTGATACCCGGTGAATGTAGGGTATTACAGCCGGGCGTTGTCCTTTGTTCTTGGCTTTGTCTTTCTGTCTGTGGTTGTTGATCATTTTTTCTGCTACATCGTACAAGGTGGGACTTGGATAACCAGAGGTCTTGAGTCGGTTTATCTGTGTCTCAAAGCTCTGTCTTGCCGTGTGGTCACATGACTTTTTTAGGGCTGCGCTAAGAGAGTTTTTGACTATAGCCATTTTAATGAGTTTTGAATGGGAGGACTCATATTGGAGTAATTGTTTTCTTGAGCGTGGCATGTACATCCAGCAAGTGTGGTTTTGTTGGAATATCATCTGTAGATCAAGAAATTGAAGGCTGTCGCCTGTCGGTAGCTCGTGTGTAAAGTTGAGTCATTGTGCGTTTTCAGTGAAGATTGAACGTATATTGTTGATTTGTTGCTCGTTATTTACATCAGGTCTGTTTTTTAGTAGCACGAGATAATCGTCCACATATCTGTATATTCTTGTCACTTGGTTGTTGGATACCCGCTGGGCGATGGCCCGATCGCATTTGGATAAGAAGATGTCGCATAACACTGGTGCCACACATGATCCAATACAAATTCCTTTCTTTTGCAGGTAAGTATTCCCGTTGAATGAGACGACTGTGGATGCTAGGTAGAATGTCAGTAACTCCAAGAATGACTCAAGATGTACGCCAGATTTGTTTTGGAAAGGCACTGTACCATTTTCTTCGATACATTCTTTTACAGCTACGTACAGTTGGTCATGAGGTATTGAATAAAACAAATCTTCCACGTCAAGGGAGAAACCATATTGTACTAGTACGTTGTCACTTTTTAGATCCTGTATAACTTGTTCTGAGTTTGAAATCAGGAACGGATCTTCCAGGCGGAGGTTTGATAACTGACTAAATAGGAACCTTGACATAGCTCCTTGCCAAGAACCTTTTTCAGTTACGACCACACGGAAGGGACATCCCCCTTTGTGTGTTTTAGCCGTAAAGAACATATCCAAAACATCTTTCCTGGATGCGGTAATCTGCTTTTTCAGATTTGTTAACTCAAGCTTGAAGCACAGTTGAAGTGCTTTAGCTTTCACTTTTTTGGTCTTTTTATCTTGCAAAGAGTTGAAGTTCTTTTGTATGGCTAAAGTCGCCTTTTGTAAATACATATTGGTGGGGCATACTACAAATCCCCCTTCCTTATCTGAAACTAGGAGATTCAAATTATGTGTTTTGAAATAATCGACCACTCTAGGTCTCATTATCTTGTTCTTAACATGTCCGGATTTTGACAAAACCTCAACACATTCATCAATACATCTGGTCCTGTCATTTTCCGGAGCTTTCGCAGCAATGTCGCGTACAGTCGACAGCACCTGTACTCCCTGTATGTGCGGAGCCGTACAAAATTTGGGGCCTTTCTCCAGGACCTTTTCAATGTCTGCGGGAAGAGAGGACTCGCCCAAAAATCTGACCGGCTCGCCTTGGTGTTCCTTCTGTTTGGCTCGTAGATATCGTAGGTGTGGTATGTAGGTCCTCCAGAGAGATTCAGTCATCCTGGTTGAAGTGTGGAGAAAGGACTTGTATCTTGATTCATGGTTGAAACCGGAGGCATCCGTGTTTGCTAGCAGCCACAGGCACTCACGGTAAAACCTAACTTGTCTCCACAGTTCTTTACGGCTAAAACACACAAAGGGGGATGTCCCTTCCGTGTGGTCGTAACTGAAAAAGGTTCTTGGCAAGGAGCTATGTCAAGGTTCCTATTTAGTCAGTTATCAAACCTCCGCCTGGAAGATCCGTTCCTGATTTCAAACTCAGAACAAGTTATACAGGATCTAAAAAGTGACAACGTACTAGTACAATATGGTTTCTCCCTTGACGTGGAAGATTTGTTTTATTCAATACCTCATGACCAACTGTTCGTAGCTGTAAAAGAATGTATCGAAGAAAATGGTACAGTGCCTTTCCAAAACAAATCTGGCGTACATCTTGAGTCATTCTTGGAGTTACTGACATTCTACCTAGCATCCACAGTCGTCTCATTCAACGGGAATACATACCTGCAAAAGAAAGGAATTTGTGTTGGATCATGTGTGGCACCAGTGTTATGCGACATCTTCTTATCCAAATGCGATCGGGCCATCGCCCAGCGGGTATCCAACAACCAAGTGACAAGAATATACAGATATGTGGACGATTATCTCGTGCTACTAAAAAAACAGACCTGATGTAAATAACGAGCAACAAATCAACAATATACGTTCAATCTTCACTGAAAACGCACAAGGACTCAACTTTACACACGAGCTACCGACAGGCGACAGCCCTCAATTTCTTGATCTACAGATGATATTCCAACAAAACCACACTTGCTGGATGTACATGCCACGCTCAAGAAAACAATTACTCCAATATGAGTCCTCCCATTCAAAACTCATTAAAATGGCTATAGTCAAAAACTCTCTTAGCGCAGCCCTAAAAAAGTCATGTGACCACACGGCAAGACAGAGCTTTGAGACACAGATAAACCGACTCAAGACCTCTGGTTATCCAAGTCCCACCTTGTACGATGTAGCAGAAAAAATGATCAACAACCACAGACAGAAAGACAAAGCCAAGAACAAAGGACAACGCCCGGCTGTAATACCCTACATTCACCGGGTATCACACAACATGAAAAAGGTGGCTGCCAGGTATGACATCCCTGTCGTCTTTTCAGCACCAGACAAGCTAAGGAAGCTTTGTCCTGTGATAAATTCCCCACTAGACCGCCGCAACGAATGCGGTCAGAGGCACAAGCAAACATATATACCTTGCCAAAGCCAGGTTATATATGAAATCCCTTTCACCTGTGGCAGAGTATATGTTGGTCAATCTGGCCGGTGTGTGAACACCAGGTTACGTGAACACGCTGCGTCACTCAAATCAACACCATCGGGGCATCTTGCAGTGCACGTAAGAGACTGTCACTGCAAGCCGAAACTTACAGAGACAAGGATCCTTCGAAGGTATCGTGAGAAGAGATCAAGGGAAATATACGAGGCACTGGCCATAAAAGAAAAGGAGAACTCGTGTGTCAGTGCACCATCAGTGGCATTGACTGAAAAAGAACTCAACTACCTTAACTTTCCCACTTAAGGTGGTTTCTTTGGTTCACTGTGGACAACTTCTTCCTTTCTTTCTGCTAATTTTCAGTTTTTTAACGTAACGCCTTCTTCCTTTATTTTTATTTCTCAGTTCCTTCAACGTAACTTCCTCTTCCATCAAGACCGTTTCATTTTGGGAATTTTCATACCGAAAAGAAAGACGAGAGAGAAACGCTACCTCTTTCTCGTCTTCTGTGTGATTATTAAAACGACAGTTGTGAGTTAGCGCTTGTACCGTCAGTTCGTTCTTGACCTTCGCGCTATTTATTTCGAAAATGCATATCCAACTAGCCCACCTTAATATTTTTGTCCGCTGGTTTTTAAATTCAACAGACGACCTACGCCGCCGCGACCGAAGAGCGTGCACGCACCGAAAGAAGTTCGGCCGGTAGTAAAATATCCCGCACCGAGAGACGGCGCTAGTCACCATCCGATCCTAAAGGGAAAAACCGCAACGCCATGACACATCCACCCATTCAAAGCGCGCAAAACCTGTCGTCCCCGAGGCCATTGTATTCGCGGGGAGTGTCCTGTATTCCCCCTCGTAAAGTATTTGGTACGCCACTCCTCCCTTTCCTTCTCCTTTCCTGCTCCTCTCCTCCTGTCACTGAACTTGTTGATCGGTGACGTGACACATAGTCTTGACATTATTTTTGCCCGCTACATTTAGCGGGGAAACTGAATTGGTGTTGAGGTCACGTGACGTCAATTTGCCCGCTAAATTTGCCGGGTAAATATTCTCGCTATATTTAGCCGCGAAATTTTCTCGCTAAATTTAGCGGAAAAATTTCTCCACTAACTTTAGTGGGACAGTTTCCCCGCTAAATTAAAGGAAAATTTTACCGCTAAATTTACCGAAAAATTTAAACGCTAAATTTAGCGGGAAATTTTTCCCGCTCAGTAAAATCGAAAAATTTCCCCGCTAAGCAAAGTGGGAAAATTTCCCCGCTAACTTTAGCGGGGAAACGTCCCATAATGCAACGCGCGCGGTTAGGCCGACGCCGCTCAACCCGGAAACGGGCGCCTAAGAGCTGCGATCTAAAAGTACATATTAGTGCCTCTTTTGGGGTCGCTCTTTTATCATGCGCGTTTCATTACACAAGAATTGCCGTGAAATTTAAAAAAAACGACTACCATCAAGCGAAGTTGTTCGAACGCTGATATTTGTGTTCTAATTGTTATATAATCAGAATTGCATTCTCTCTCTCAGAATCCCTGCACCGAAGAAGAGCTAGAACACCTCCAAAAGTGGGCTAAGAACTTGTAAAACAAGAAAGAAAAAAATAAAGGCTAATTGTGCAATGCCTAACAAGGGAAGCAACTTTTTTTTACGGCGACTGCGATAAGCATTGTCATGTGCCTTTCATCCGAATCTATCATTTATAAAAAAAAATAAAAAAATTAAAAATCGCACATCTTTTTCTTTTGTTTTTCACGTGATGCTCAATAAATATATAAGCTGGACTGTAATGCGGCATGCGCTTCTGATGGGGTGTATTGCCTATTGCGTTACATATCGGTTAGGAAATTAGCGTTCGTAATTCAAGGGAAACATCGAAGGCAATGCGGAGTTAAAAATGTCACAGTGTCTACTTGAGAAATCTGGAACATGGCATCGGCAAACCACAAACCAGCAAACTAACTAAAAAAAGAAAAGGACAAAAATATATTTAAAAACAAAAATGTGGCTGGATAAATAGCTGCTAGGGAACTCGGGAGCTAGGTTTAAAGTAATTCGTCGACTTCGATTTTTATTCATTTGCGTTTCACGATAAAGAACAGTGTCTGGGATAAGCTGTTACGAACTACGTCCTGTATTTCATTTCTAGCATGTTTGGAGTGGAAAGGTGTTCTAAATTCCCGAAAACGATTGTTTCTTGAAAAATTCAATTTCTGAGAACTTAACCCTTCATTTGGTAACTTTACCGCCTTAGTAGTATTCGTAAACCACGTTTCTGAAAGCATAATTACATAAATCAAAAATTTGAATTGATGAGGCTCGTCTACTTTGTTTCGCGTTGAACGACCGTTAATGTGGAAACACCTAAAAAAACTGCAATATTTATTTCCCGAAAAGGTTTTCACATTTGATGGAAGAAAATAGTCATCATCTAACGGAAAATTTATAGCGTCCATTTTATTATTCAGCAATAAATTGGCGTTGTCATTCATTGCAAAAGAAAAAAAAAACTAAATAAGGCTGACATCAAAAGCATCACACAAGTTTCTGTAAATCATCTCAAGGCTTAATCACGGGCACACTCTCATCAGGTACTCCTCCAGAGCGAGACTTGGTGCAAGAAGGTATATATGCACTCTTTCGTAGGTTTATTTTTTATGCTTTGTTTATTTTCTGATTTAAGAATTGAAGTTTTGCTACAACCCCCCCCCCCCCCCCCCCCCCCCCCCAAGAACTTGAAGGACACACATCTAGGTACGGAAAATGACTGTATTTCAACATTTGTTCTGTGGGATTTCGTACCTAAAATAATCATTCAGGGCAGTTCGCGCTGTCCTTCATCAGCAGTGTGTTACCGTGTCTGGTACTTTCACATGCAACGAAACAGTTAGTGTTTGTCCTCTTTTTAATATTTGACGTCCCTCCTGCTCACATTTGCAATGATGTAAATGAAAATGAAGTGCGCGGTTACGCTCCAAAAGCTCTTTTTGCTTCTATACAAGATGAACTTTTGGCTTCTCCAATAGCTGCTTCAAAATGACTACAACCAATCACATCACTGCACTCATCACCTGACCCCGCTCTTTGCACGTGGCTATGGACATTGAATGGGAGCGTGATGACGTGGTGAAACAGAGACGTATAACTGGTTTAACGAGGACGTAGCTTCCACCGTAGTCTCAGCTTAGAGGTGAACGGAGTATGGTAGTTGCAGCACCAATTATCGAAGTCCGCCATTGTTTGGGCACACACTCTGGCCGATGTTGCTTGATGTTACAGAGAAAATTGCCTCATCTCAATAAACCTGATGCGAAATTGTTTGTTAGTCTAACAACACTGAGAGCGTCGGTATTTTAATGTTAGCAAGCGTAGTCGGTACGGAAGCGCAGTGGAGGCATGGATACAACCGTACGGACAGTGTGCGATGGCGCGGCAGCTGTGTTTTTCACCTTCCGACCCTCGAACGTGGACGAACAGTTTAAGCAACTTACTGCAACTGTCTGACGAAACGTTCGAAGGCCTATGCACACGCTGGCGACAACCCGCAGTGTGTAAGCTTCCACAGTGAAAGCGTAGGAGTTGCTGCACTGCTTCGACGAGGTTGTTGCCAGCGTGCAGAGGCCCCCTAAAGTTTCATCAGACAGTTGCGGTAGGTTGTTTAAACTGTTCGTCCACATTTCATGGTCAGAAGGTGGAAAACACAGTTGCTGCGCACACTGCCCGTATACGGCTCACTCCGAAGCCTCCACCGTGCTTTGGTACCGACGACGCTTGCCAACGTTAAAATGGCGACGCTCTCAGTGTTGTCAGATCACCAAGGAATTTTACATAAGGTCTATTGAACCTATTTGACTTGTTGCCATCTTTTTTTTTTTTTTAAACATGGCATATATCGAAAGCTTTTGGCACAGTAAATTATATTAGGTTTAATGCAAAAATAACCGGAATGAATTTCTGAAAGGAGGGCCGTTTGTAGTACCGGCTTCCTCAGCTAGCAGCGTTTACCGAGTGAGTTTGCCGACTGGCATTGTCTGCTATGAATTTTTTTTTCCAAGCGCTTCAAAATCGTTTCTCGTGTTTTTTTTCTTTTGTTTTTTTTGCAATGTCTGATATTAAGAAACAGCATGCCGCCGTGAAATTTCATTTTAAGAAAAACTGCCCGAAAATCTGGTAATGTTTCAAAGAGCTTACAAAGAAAATGCTAATGAGAAATCTCAAGTCTATGAGTGCTTTTCTCGCTTTAAGGCCAGTGAATTATTGATCGACGACCAACCTCTTTCAGGGCGACCCTCAACCTCCTGAACTGATTAAAACATCGACAAATTTGGGCGTTGTTCACTCCGAGTTTTTTCCTGCTGGTGAAACTGTTAATCAGGTGTTTTACCCGGGAATTTCGCAACACTTGAGAAACTCAGGAAGGCAGATATACCCCGATGTGAGGGAAAGGGGGAATGATAGTCCTATCACAACAATGCCCCAGCATACACAGCCCTTTCAGTGCAGCAATTTTTTAGCAAAAATGGCCATGACACCACTTCTCCACCCCCCGTGTTCTCAGGACCTCGCTCGCCCCATGTGACCCTTTTCTGTTTGCTGGTATGAAAAGTCTTGAAAGGAAATCGTTTTGTGAATGTGTAAGGTCCTTCAAATCAGACATTGCAAGAAACGAGAAATAATTTTGAAGCGCTTGGGGGAAAAATTCACAATGCGCCGCTAGATCCTTAGCAGACGACACCGGTCGGCAAACTAACTCGGGAAGGATGCCGCTTAGCACTGCCAGAGGCGGATGCTGGTACTACGAACGCCTAGCCTCCTGAATTTATTCCAGTTACTTTTGGGTACCCCCTCATATTTTTTTCTATTGTTAAACTTCTGTTTTATGGCCCAGTGGCTTGGTGTAAATCATATCCCTTTTTGTGTTATACGTATATTCAGATTTTTTTTAGAATGGTGAAATGACTGTGGTGTTGCATATTGTCACGAATGACAAGTGATGAGGTATGAAATAACTGAGTAAACTAAACGTTTAATCGGGCGAACTTGTGCCGAAAATAAAGAAGGGAACAAAAGATAACAGTAGAGCGTCGCGGGCGTTGAAGTCGGCGAAAGAGCAGAGTCGAACGCTGGGGCGAAAACTGACTCGACAAAGTTGCGGGTGGCCTCTTATCTATAGTGAGTCACTATCTCGAAGATTCGGCGGAGAAGGTTCGAGCGTAGCGCGCTCGGGGCGAGAATGAACACGCACTTTCTAGAACAACAAATATCAGGGATGAACGATAGAAGGTATGTCCGCAGCAAGAATAAACAAGAATCTTCTACAAGTCCGTGACCCTGCGCGCGGCAATATTTTGATTATTTAATATCTTTGTAATGCATACATAACATTGTTTTTTGGTTAAATGTTCTCTGTTTTCATGTAATTTTATTGGTTTGTTTCATATTCAAAGGTGCCAGCCAATAAGAAGGGTGGAAGGTTGTTTCAGGCTTCAGAAAGTATCATTACTATAATTATTATAGTTTGATAGACCAGTGCTGGAAAAAAACTTCTTTTGAGATTTACATTTGAACAATGATTCAAAAGTCCCTACAAGGTTTTTTAAAACGTTTAATTATTCCTTAAAGGAACATATTTTTCAATATAAAATTGTATGTCAGGTTTGGAAAATAAAAGAATTCAAACAATTGCCACCTAAACACTTTGCCTCCATGATAGGCATTTTAAATATATATATATATATATATATATATATATATATATATATATATAATATGTATACATATAGTACAGTTTTGGATGTAATTCCTTAACGTTTTAAGCTTAATACATTGTTTATATGAAGTGTCCCTGTGCTTGGGAAGTGCCAACCTTTTGTTGTCATCACAAAAATAAAATATTTAAAATATTTTTATAGGGTGTATATGTTCTCCAAATGCAGCACATAAAAAATAATCTCGGCAATGGTACTTTATAAATATATATATAATTGTACCCCAATAGTTTTTTTGCTTTTTTTTACATGAGTTTAATTTTGGGGTTTCTAAAGTATAGAGCGAGTAGAGCGACTCATCGGTCACTCGACCAACACGGGAAAATGTGCCGCCAGCGTTTGCCTGCTACAATAAAGGGAAAAAAGAACGAATTGAACAACACAAGACTACGAATTATGTTACCTTTAGCCGATTACTGTCCAGGAATGCAAATATTGTTGTAACGTTTGCTGCTGTTGCACGCGCGGAACGAGCGCGAGGCAACATTACCTAAGTAAGCTTATCACTGCATGAATCTGAAACCGAAACTGATCGGGAGCATGGCGTGTGGTGTTACTTTAGCCGATCGCTATCACATTATGTTGCCCTTCGAAGCGCTAGATTAAGAGAGGTGTCCAGCCTGCCAATTTAAACACATAGACCACTTGTATACCAATAATACTTGCAAGCACTTTTTGTATTCATCTAGTAAACAGTGGCAGTCACTTGCCTAATCCTTGTCAGAATATGGTAGTGCATATATACGAATCGGGTCGGTAAAGTCGTTTTGTGGGAGTTGTTTGTGCCATGCTGCACTGTTGCAATGTGTGTGTGTGTGT